CTAAATTGGATGTACTTTTTCTGTAGCTGGTGTTCATGGTTAAGATCCTCCAGCAATACCTGTGCTGGAACTGGGAACACCAACAGTCCCAGCACATCCTGCCACATCCTGCCCCATACAACACATTTCGCCTGGACTCTAGATTTAGCAGCAGCTCAGCAGCCCAAGATATTTCAAGTAAAACAATTTAGTGTCAGCTAACTGGCAAGTCCTCCTTGCTCCTGGCAAGTATTTCCTCGAGCTAATACACCTGATTGACAGAGAATTTATCCATACACAAAGTCCTGCTGTGCTGAATAGAGCAGAGGGCTCTGCTGAGCTCTTTCCCAAGTGCCTTTCACATCCCATAAACTGCAAACCAAACTTGTATCATCTATGTTTTGAACACACAGAAGTAATAAACAGTCAAAACAAAACTCAGAGTCCAAGATAAACTGTCAGAAGTATCTAAGAGAAGTGTGTATGGAAGAAGTAAATCCTCTACCTTGGAATCCCATCCGCCCAGTGAGTAAAGAGGAATGAAATGTTGCAGACAGCTCCAAGGTGAACCAGAGAGAGTGAAGGCAATCCATATCACACCCTCTTTTCCTGACAGTTGCTATGAAAGGTGTCTTTCCAATTTTCAACTAATGAAAGGAAGAAAAACAGCAAAAACCTCTTGAACTAACGCTCTTTATTTAGGTTGAAGTACTCCCCCACCCAAGAAGTGCTTGGTGGTTCTCAGGGTTAGTAATCCTTCAAGGATTCAACCAGCCGACGTTACTCCATTTTTCAGTCGTCAATGAGTAGCTTGTGAATGCCCCAGATGTGCTAATTGGAATAACTGACTCCACTCTTTTCCGCAATTAATTTCCAGGGCCTATCAGCTGCAAACAGGCAGTTCACAGCAGCAGTTCACTGCCATCCCATTGATTTGTTCAACGGACACTAAATCTGCAGCTCAATTTCATTCACATATACAACTCTACTAAAATCTTGTGCCTCTTAGGCTTAGCATCAGCAACATGGACATTTTATAGGCTAATGGATAGGGTTGTTTCTCTCTCCTGTTTTTGTCTACCAGTTTTCCAATACAAATAGTTTCTAATTCAAATTTCCCTTTCATTATCCCATACTCAGTCAAGTTTTAACCCTTTCACCAATATCCTGCCAATGTACTCACTTGTTTGCAGACAACACTTTAGAAGGAGGCAGAAATACAGTCAAACAAATTTATTTTGTAAGAACAAGTATCTGTGAAACTTTTTTTCCTTTTATCAACTCCACATCCTTCTATTTAATTTGTCAACATAATTAAAAAGCACTTCTATTAGTAATAGCATGCATCAACATGATTCAGATTTTCCAAATATTTAGAATCCATGTCCCAGCAATGCCAGTTTCAGTATCTGTCTCTCATGTAAGTAGATTCCCGATTTGTCTACTCAGTTGACTGCAAAAACCAAAAAAAAAAAACAAAAACAAACAAAAAACCCCCACAAACCAAGTAAATTCTTGCAGGATTTAAAAAGCACACAGAAACATAGCATTACCCCCCAAAATACAAGGCACAGTGCATGGACCAGTGTCAGTCAAAGCAGCCCCATTGCAGGACCACTGCTTCGCAAAGGTGTCAGGACTGCGTGGTGCAGCCGGGTGCTCAGCTCCTCTGTCTGCCCTGCATCCATGGGTCACTGATGACCGTGGGTATTATTACAGTCTATGCTGGCAGTTGCTTTCTGAGTCATTTCAGGACTTTCTAAGTCAGTTGTAAGATCTCCCTCCGGCCTTGAACCAGAACTTGGCATAAAAAAACCCTGAACTAGGACTGGATACTTTTATTCAAAACAAAACCAAACCTTGAAACAGATGTTTGCACTCCCCGCCCCCCCAGTTGTAGGTATGTCCAAATCAAACAACCTTGCCTCAAATGGTTACCCCTCGTTTGTGCTCTCATAACTTAAAGCCCACATTGATAACAGGTCTACTTTTATTACAGGTCTGTAGTTTACCACTTGAGTATCTGCCCAACTACAGTAGCAGTTAATGGTACCTACTATTTCTCATCAGAGTAATACAACTTGTCTGGTGCACAATCTGTCCAGCAGACCAAAAGGAAGGGGGTTCCTGCAGCCACAGTGCAGCTGATGACCTTGAACCACCAATACTGCACTTCGTCTCATTTTCATATTGAGGAGTTTTATGAGTCTTATAATACACTTATATTTGTTTTCACATATTCCAAATCCTTGAGTCAGCCACTAAACTAAATGCAACTCCTCTTGGTATTAAATGATACATATGAAGGTATCTTTCAAGGCTTCTACAGGAAAACTCAGAAGAAAAAACAAGACCCAAAAGCAAAGAACAAAAATATTAACCAATTCTTCTTTTCAGTCAAGACAATAACCTGATCTTTGTTGCTCATTTCTGCTCTAGAAATACACAAAAAAAATGAAGGCTGGCAATCCACTCCCCGTGGAAAAGGCTGATGGGGGCAAAAATCACAAAAACTGGTTGTGGGCTCCTGACGGTCCGCTCACAATTCCTGTCCTGGAAGCAGGCTGCTTTAAGGCAATACTTGAGCAAAGCTTCTCAGAAAAGAAAACCAGCAACATGGAAACAAAGGGACAATTTCCAGTAAAGTGTCCCAATACTGCTCTATGACAAGCTCAAAAACTGAAGGATCTGCCTCCTTTTCATTTGTTTAATCAAAACACAGTCAACAAAGGCTGATGCAGGGCTGAGGCTGATCCTTCAGTCTGTGATGTGGCACTTAGCAAGTCACGCTTATTTACTTACATGCATCAGCTTAGCCCGTGTCAAGTGAACAGCCACCTCTTGGACCTTCTGGGTCTCCAGAGAACTGTAAAGTGCTCTGGAGAGAAAGTATAGCCACAAGCAATCACTTCTGTTGATCACTGACATGGTTCATCATAAAAAGAGATAGGACACAAGACCTAAATCCTTTGCTCGTCTGCATGATGATTTCACTCAGGAGCTCATCCTGGACGCAAGCAGATGTCCTTTTAGGTGTAATCTCAGAGCCTACTCTAGGTTGAAAACCATCATTCCTTTCACCTGTGGTTACCTCTGCTCCTCAGTTTTTAAACGTATGAACCCCGCTGTCATGAAGCCAAGGGATGGGCAGCATTTCCCCAGGGGTTTCCACCATCATATTGTTGATCAGATACATGCTGCTTGCACCACAAACTGGAGAGCCCTAACCAGACAGAGTCAGATTCATGAGACCACAGAAACAGCTTTAATAGACCAGACCAAAGACTCAGGTAACCTAGCATCTTGTCTCCAAAGGTGGCCAGTAAGAATTGTTTAGGGACAAACGTAAGACGAGAGACAACACGGAAGGATCTGCCCTGTCACGCAGTCATCCAGCCATCAGAAACACAGCAGCTTCCTGGGCAACGCAGAACATGACATTTATCAGTTACCAACAGATGTATTACCTCCATCCTCTTTCAAATCATTCATCCCTCTGGCCTCCATAAAATCCTTTGGCAATGGCTTCAATAACACAACACTGATGTACTACAGAGGGAGTCTTGGGGGGGAAAACAGGGAGGAAGGGAGGGGGAAGAAATCACACTTCTAGGACAAACAGAATGGGGACTGATAATAAGACACACACAGATAGACTGAAAGCCAACAAAAAGTTGGTAAAACAATGAATGCATAAGAATGCAATTAATGACAAAAACATGTTCTGAGATAAAATCTGAGAAAGACAGTGAAGGAATTTTTTGAAGAACTGTGCAAGAAAAAGTTATGAAAAAAGCAAAGTCAGCAACATAAAATACGCACGACTGTATGAAAAGAACTGATTTTTCTATTATTTTTAAAGAGAAGCAAAAAATTTGCTCCGAAGTACTACAGTCTGGTTATTTCCTTTGCACTCTACAAGCTAACCTTCAAAAGATGACATGTTTTACCCCTGATATTATGCAAAGTGCATGAGATGCATGTTTTCTGCATAATTTATCCGGACTAAACAGTTTAATTTATGCCCACTCTGGTTCTTTCATTATAATCCTACTCTCACAAAAAAAGAAGTGGGCAATGATTATGCAGAAATCCACTGACAAAAAATGGATTCGAGAGACCAACTAGGTAGCTCCAATCGGTAAGTTGATCTCACAGCAAGAAAACACCTCCAAAATGAAGTTAATGAAAAAGGAGATTTTCACGTTTAAAACATTTTCTTCAAGCAAAAATGTCTGGGGGCTCTTAAAAAAATGAAAGAAACTTTTACAAATATCCACCACATATGCCAGTAAAAGGATGGAAAAAAGAATCTTAATGGAAAAGACACTTTATTCTTTAATTTTCTTCCTCTTCCATTTTTCATTTCTATTTCAATAGAAAGAAGAATAATGTCCTTAAAAAGTCCAAACCATAGCACTTTAGCTCTTTTGTTAAAAAAACTAAAATGTTAATTTTTTAAAAAAGACTGACAAACAATAATGCTGAAACTCAGCAATGCAACTCATGACAAGTCATACTCACACAATACCAAAATTGTTATTTATCAGAACTAATCAAAAAGACACCTCTCACCTCTAAAAGTTAGAAGGAGGAGGGTTATTTTGAAGCCAAATTGCATCTGCTTACTGCTGGTAGCTACTGCTAACTCAGACTCCAAGCTGGTGGCTCCCAGCACTTCCAGGAGAAGAGGAGGCAAGGAAAGGTCAAGCCCAGCCCTTGCCCTCCATCCACCTGCTGCAGCTGGATAATTCTATATCCATGGTAGGGATGCTCAGGCTGGTGCTGGGAAGGGGAGGGGACCACCCTGGCACCCAATTCATCCCATCCACCCAGGAATCTGTGCAGAAATATTCCCACCTACTGTTATCTGACTCACCTGTTTCACCAGCCCCACATTTCTCTTCCCTCCATCCTTGACCGATCCAGGGTCCTGGCCCCAGACTCTGGCCACCTTCCCCACTCCAGCCTGGCTTACCACTGGTCTACTCTCATCATCACCAAACATAAATGTGATTTACCGTCTGAGTTCTCACTGCCACATATTTCGGAGGAATCTACAAGCATCCACGCTTGCCCTGGCACCTGCCATCTCTCACCCATGACGGCTAGCAGTTCATCAGTGTGAACCACAGTGTGTAGGAAGCTAACCGAGAAGGCACACTGTGAACATTGGCTGGACTGTGGTGGAGATGAACTGCTTTCTTCAAAGTTAAGAACAGGAGGATCCAGAAACAAAGCCTCAGAATGAAACCTCAGCATTTACGTAATCAGAAAACAGGAGGCTTAAATGGCAAAACCCAAGACAGTAAGGATGTGACGTGGTACACAACCTCCCACACTCGTCCACAAAAACACAACCATCGCAGAATTAGTTGATCAAATTACAAGCCCTTGCATTGCTGAACAGACAATGTTCCTCCACCAAGGCACAGACTGTCTTCAATTGCTGCAGAAAGCCCTCAGCAAAGAAACCCGGAGCTGAGACAAACATCAGCATTACTCTAAGAAATGGAAATGCATTTTCATTTCCAGGCTTCTCAGGCAACTTTTGACCATTGTTCCACCCACCTGGTCTCAGTGACTTCACAGTATGGACATCAAAATGACTATTCATAGGAGGAAGGACAGAAAGCCCATCTAGCAGATGAGGGAAGAATGTGCTCCTTTCACCTGCAGGGAGTCCATAAGCTCCCCTGCAGAATATACCACCAAATGCAAAGCCATCCCTACAGCCTCTGAAGATGGCCACAGTAAACACTGTGGGCAGGAAATGACAGGTTACCTTCACCTCAGTGACTCCATGTCACAAACCCCACATGAACTCTTGTCATCCTTCCAAAAAAATAACTTTAAGGGGAAAGGTTCCTTTCTGCCTATGTTTGGGCTTTGCACTGAAATAAGATTTCCTTGCTCTTCTCCCCTTCAGCTGACCAACTGGATCCCCTACCCCCATGCTCTCCAAAATGTGGAGTGATGCTGTGTATTCTGCTGAGATCAACCATCTGTACCAGTCCATCAACTGACAACAGAAACGATCCCTCTGTTCTCCACTGAGCAGAGAGTTTAAAACATCCATTCATGAGCAGATATCCAAGTTCTAAACCCTGACATCACCAATGTCTCATTTTACTTTTCAGTTTCACCAACCTAGAAATTATTTCCATGTACACATGCCTTCCAGGGACACGGAAGCAAGATTAGGTACAGAAGACTATTCCGTATATACACAAATAAACTTTGTCCAACTCTTTTCCTAAAAGAGGAAAAAAACCCATATAGATCCCTAAATGCGATCTGAAATTCTGTCAAATGCATATTCCTGTATAACTGAAGCGCAACACACTGTATTCTAAATTACTTACTTAATGTGGGTAGCCACATATTTTTCTGGTAATCTCTGTGCATTTTGTTTCTCTATCCTCCACCCCTTTTGTTATTCCTGTCATCTTGTCATGTCCTCTTAGCATTGAAGGGCAGAGCTGCCTTCTCTGTTATGTATTGGTACAACGCCCAACACAGACTTCTCATTCCGAACTCCCAGCCCTGCTCTAAAAGAAATAGCAATTAAACCCACGAATAAACAGATAAATTTCTGAAGAGAATATACAACTTACATAATGACACAAATTCACAAAAATGCTGGTTTCGTGTCAGTCAGCACTACAGACACCAACTCCCTTGAGAACCTCCATATTTTATAGGGCTTTTTATGGTGCGCTGGGACAGAAGTGAGAAGATGACAGCTTAAAGCCAGCTCTTAACCAAATGCAGATTTACCTATGGAGCACAGACCAATAATTAGCAAGTTACATTAGAAAACAGCTGGGGAAACAAAATGAGTCTTGGTGCTAACGAAACCTCAGCTCACCTGAACTTAAAATAAAACCCTTCAAGAAAAGACTCTTCAGTTAGCCATCATTTTTTTTATTACCGGTATGTAGGACACTCCCTGCTACAAATTCCTGCTTCTCTGGGTGGAGACTGATCACTTCTGAGCCATTTCTTCACTGAGTCTGAACCACCCACATCTACCAGGAACATTTATTGTGATGAATAGACCTATTAATACCAGCTTTACCCCACCCTATACTGCTTCAGAATATGGAAACTCAATGGATGTATCTGGTTTTGGTTAATATGCCATGACTCTCAAGTTTTACAATGGGAAGGCAAAGGAAACACATTATGTATTTTATTGTAGTGTTTTGGCACATTCTCCATCAAATGGAAAATTCAACTTATCAGGGGTGTAATTTACAGTCGTTCCTTACCAAACCTTACATCCTTCTTCACCTTTTTCCACAAAAAAATACCTCCTCCTTCATTCCTTGCCTCCTTGCCAGGACAAGCCAAGAGCAACCTTAGGTCCTCCCAAGCTCGAGTAGAAACCACATCCAAAATGACAAGGAGTAGACAACAGCATGCAAGGCTTCGTATGGCAAAATCTTTTAGGAGCAGTTTTGAATGTGGCATGGACTTGCTCTCACCTCACCTTTAAAATCCTGGCCACAGCTAACACCTGTGAACTCCAGAAATTAAATGCTAATTTAAAAATCAAGGTTATTGAAACCTGAGGAATATCCTATGCAGGGGTCCCTGAGAGGAACCACACACAAAAAGGCAATGGCTTAGATTGCTGTGAGCTATCCTACAATTACAGATCACAATTTATGGAGCAAAGAATATAAAAGTAAGTGAGACAGGACAACCATGCTAACAACAGAGCCAAGTCCAGGCAGCAGAAGTGGGGAACACACTGAACTGCTTTCATTATGAGGCAAAGGTCAGGCACACTAAACCTAAAAGGAAAGAAAGAAAATGCAACAGGCTTTCAAACCACATACACCTCGTTTAAAGTCCAATTCCTCAGGAAAACCAAAGAGTGAATTTCTTCCTCTATAGGACAGCTGAGGCTGCTACAAGGTAGGAATCAAATACCACTTCCATCACTACACCAACATGACTTTTGGACAGGCATCCCCATAGCCTAGGACCTCAGGTGGGCTCTGTATAGAAACCCACTCATCAAAGTTCCTTATCTGCCTGTGGTGCTGGAATAAACCCCTCACTTTTCTATGTTTCCTGGCATGGCAGGAGATGTTTGAAGGTCACCTCCTCAGGGAACAAGGACTTTTTGGCAACACGTTCCAGAACAACTTCATTTTCACCATTACTAGTGTGACCGAGTCCTACCTCTGCCTCGCAGCAAAACAACTTCCTAACTGCTTTGGCAACTCTTGCTCCTCCAGGTAGGAAGCAGCAAACACTAAATGCAGAGAAGGGCAAGGAGGAGCCATCACTGCTCCACATTTCAGAGCCACAGAGACCAGCCAGGACCCTGGATCAGGGGAGAAGGAGCATTGCAATGACTCTGTTTTCTCCAGCACATCTGATAGTGCCATTAGCACAACTGGCTCCCAGCCACCAAAGTGAAAAAAAGAGCAACTGGATGCTGACGAGGAATGATCGAATAAAAATTTAATGTCTGAATAAACAGAACAGAACATCTGGCAGAACGACTGTGGTCCGGCCACACGTACTGATGGGTACCAGCAAGAGCTCCAGTGCTGCTCAGCACTGTTGCAGTGCGGAGAAGCCTCAAGCTCAGGCTGGTTCTAATAGAGACCCTGTAAATAGTTTTGGGCCACTTCTTGGCAGAACTCTTCAATTTATTGTAAACAACTGGCACTCGCCAGAGGGAACTATTGAGAGGCCCATAAAAATTGAGTTTCCTCTCATAGTGTCAAGTGATGAAGTAGTCTTCGCTTCCTGACCTCAGTCATTGTATAGGGCTACCGCCTGCTGTTACAGAAAGCTGCTGTGTGACAGTAAGCAAGCTGACACCTAACTGTTAAATTCAACCAAGTGTTTTAATTAAGGGAAGAGTGTCTTTAAAATAAACTCTTAGTAGGTTTTGGCCCACAGTCAGGAAAGCACTTAAGTATAAGCCTTAGACTGCCCCTATTCAGGAAAGCACATGTTTAAGTGCTTTCCTGAATGCAGATATATTCCTGTCCTGGGGCCTTAAAAGTGCACTAAATAATAAAATTTATTGCAATTTGAATTCACTGTTTTCTTGCAATATTTATTTAGCTGTTTTTTATTAAGAGTAGAGTCACTTAAATTTTGTATCTATTTAACAATCCTCACTGCTTGCTGATTGCATTCCAAGAGACAATCTGTTAATGCTGTTTCAGTTAAACTCCAGGGTTTTTTTCCCTGCTATCATGAAACTGTCTCATTTTCTTAAAAAAACATCCCAATTACACAAGTTACACTTACACAGGGCCACAAACCACTTGAAATAATTTGCATGGATTTGGAGATCTTTGAGTCCGTTCTCCATTATATACATAATAAGGATATAAAGTCAAACTTCATCTAAACCAACAGTCACGTCTGGGATGTTCACTGAACAATGACGTTGAGTCACTGCTTCAACAAATATTAATGCACATATTTTATACCAATATAAAGGTCACAAGTCAGACCACAAAGACAAATTTCAACACAAGCAGATCCTTTCTTTTCAGCCAATACACAGTACCTGTGTTTTGCATCTCTCACAAGCTATTTCCAACACCTTCGTACTGCAAACTTTAGATTTTCGTAATAGAAAGCTGATGTTGTTGAGCAGGAGGGGAAGAGAGTGTGAGCACAGCATATGTACATCCACACAGCTCCACTCTCACAGCAACGAGGCACCATTACTAGTGTTTACATAAGTCTGAATCATGCAAACTAGGCAAGATGGAATAAGAGGTAAAATAATCAAGAGCTGCATCAGCAAGAGCTGTGGTTTCAGTCAGCTGTTAGCATTATTTTTACAAAACTAGAATCTCTTAGTCATCACCCTTCAAATTCACTTGCCTGCACAGGCGAGAGCCAGGACCCTCTCCCTAATGCAGTTCATTCCTCCTTCCCCAGTGTTTCTCCTCTCCTTCATGACCATGAAGTCAGGTGTGTTTAGGGATTGGCTGGATGTGACCCACCTGTGACCAACTGCTGCATTTGCTACAGCACTGGTGGGGTCTTCCAAATTTTGCTTGTGATTGTATCCAACATTTTAAGAGTTGGCTTTTTTCAGGGGTCTTCCCCAG